TTTATAAAATTAAAAATTTAATTTTAAAAAATATATTAATCGGAATTTCACTTCACTTATTAATCGAAAATAAATAATTTTAACTATACCATTCAGTTTTCTTAGAAATATGGAATATAATTATATTCATTCTGTCTAGGATTGATTAAGTTTTGTTCATTTACTTTTATGTAAACTTACATAAACGTCATTGTCCAATTTATAAGCTCTTATATTTTGTCTATATAAAACGAATAATAAAAGTTACAGTCAGGGCAGGATTTAGAAATTTGGCGCCCTGGGGCAGTGACAAAAATGCCGCCCCATTCCAGGATTTTTACTTAAATAGTTTTTATATAAAAAATCATTTCAAATTCATTACGTATTACATACTATAAATAGTGGTTCTTGGCATCACACATTAAGGCAAATTGCTGAAACATTCTGTACCGAAAATTAAAATTAAAAAAAAATTGAAACATTTTGAAAACTTTGAAAAAATTGAGTTTTTTATATTTTTCTAAAGCGATCGCGCTGCTTTGGCTGCGTAGAGGCATGTAATTTTCAGCACTGAAAGCTTCGGTAACTTGCCTTAAGACATAATGCCATGCGTCACTAGTTTAATTTTTATTTTGGCGCTATAAGCTTGAAAGTGCACAAATTCGTCATCTTAAGAGTGCTCGAAAACTGAATAACATATATTTCTTAAACTTTCAGCTTGTTTACCAATCTTTTATTAGCAAAATTGCCAAATTATGCCGCCCCCGAAAATTTGCCGCCCTAGGCAGTAGCCCTGACTGACCCTACTGTAAATCCAGCACTGGTTACAGTATTTACAATAATATATATATAAAAACATTCATAATTCTTCGAATATTTCATTATGATACGAGAAGTTCTAACGACTCATGCACAACTAGTTTATTTAAAAATTGTATTCATTATAACTATATAACTATCAAGGGGAGATAAAAATTATTATGTGAGAGAGAGTTTAAAATTCTGAAGACGTTTAATAATAGAAAAGTTTATTACCACTCGATGTGTTAATGTATTCCTGAATTTGGTTATAGTAGTTTTTTCATACACCTTTCTTATTTCAACATATTTTAAAATGGTTACAACACTAATAACACATATTTGAGCTTTTCAACTTTTTAGATGTTAATATAACATGTTAAAATAACTGGAAAAAAATGTGGAACGCTTCACGATTTTGCGTGTCATCCTTGCGCAGGGGCCATGCTAATCTTCTCTGTATCGTTCCAATTTTAGTATATGTTCTGCCGAAGCAAGAACACTTCACAACGTTCCCAAATTGTATTTATACTTAAACATTCTAGCTATACGCCACAACGCGAGTTAATCGCGAGGGGTTGTAGCGCCATCTGTTAGAATTATGGTGACAATTTTAAATTCAATCTTACAACTTATTATTATAATTTGCATGTTGAATAATATTTAATGAAATCAAAAAAAAAATGTGGAACGCTTCACGATTTTGCGTGTCATCCTTGCGCAGGGGCCATGCTAATCTTCTCTGTATCGTTCCAATTTTAGTATATGTTCTGCCGAAGCAAGAACACTTCACAACGTTCCCAAATTGTATTTATACTTAAACATTCTAGCTATACGCCACAACGCGAGTTAATCGCGAGGGGTTGTAGCGCCATCTGTTAGAATTATGGTGACAATTTTAAATTCAATCTTACAACTTATTATTATAATTTGCATGTTGAATAATATTTAATGAAATCAAAAAAAAATGTGGAACGCTTCACGATTTTGCGTGTCATCCTTGCGCAGGGGCCATGCTAATCTTCTCTGTATCGTTCCAATTTTAGTATATGTTCTGCCGAAGCAAGAACACTTCTTAACGTTCCCAAATTGTATTTATACCTAAAACATCCTAGCTATACGCCACAACGCGAGTTAATCGCGAGGGGTTGCAGCGCCTTTAAATTCAATCTTACAACTTATTATTATAATTTGCATATTGAATAATATTTAATAAAATCAAAAAAAATGTGGAACGCTTCACGATTTTGCGTGTCATCCTTGCGCAGGGGCCATGCTAATCTTCTCTGTATCGTTCCAATTTTAGTATATGTTCTGCCGAAGCAAGAACACTTCACAACGTTCCCAAATTGTATTTATACTTAAACATTCTAGCTATACGCCACAACGCGAGTTAATCGCGAGGGGTTGTAGCGCCATCTGTTAGAATTATGGTGACAATTTTAAATTCAATCTTACAACTTATTATTATAATTTGCATGTTGAATAATATTTAATGAAATCAAAAAAAAAATGTGGAACGCTTCACGATTTTGCGTGTCATCCTTGCGCAGGGGCCATGCTAATCTTCTCTGTATCGTTCCAATTTTAGTATATGTTCTGCCGAAGCAAGAACACTTCACAACGTTCCCAAATTGTATTTATACTTAAACATTCTAGCTATACGCCACAACGCGAGTTAATCGCGAGGGGTTGTAGCGCCATCTGTTAGAATTATGGTGACAATTTTAAATTCAATCTTACAACTTATTATTATAATTTGCATGTTGAATAATATTTAATGAAATCAAAAAAAAAATGTGGAACGCTTCACGATTTTGCGTGTCATCCTTGCGCAGGGGCCATGCTAATCTTCTCTGTATCGTTCCAATTTTAGTATATGTTCTGCCGAAGCAAGAACACTTCTTAACGTTCCCAAATTGTATTTATACCTAAAACATCCTAGCTATACGCCACAACGCGAGTTAATCGCGAGGGGTTGCAGCGCCTTTAAATTCAATCTTACAACTTATTATTATAATTTGCATATTGAATAATATTTAATAAAATCAAAAAAAATGTGGAACGCTTCACGATTTTGCGTGTCATCCTTGCGCAGGGGCCATGCTAATCTTCTCTGTATCGTTCCAATTTTAGTATATGTTCTGCCGAAGCAAGAACACTTCACAACGTTCCCAAATTGTATTTATACTTAAACATTCTAGCTATACGCCACAACGCGAGTTAATCGCGAGGGGTTGTAGCGCCATCTGTTAGAATTATGGTGACAATTTTAAATTCAATCTTACAACTTATTATTATAATTTGCATGTTGAATAATATTTAATGAAATCAAAAAAAAAATGTGGAACGCTTCACGATTTTGCGTGTCATCCTTGCGCAGGGGCCATGCTAATCTTCTCTGTATCGTTCCAATTTTAGTATATGTTCTGCCGAAGCAAGAACACTTCACAACGTTCCCAAATTGTATTTATACTTAAACATTCTAGCTATACGCCACAACGCGAGTTAATCGCGAGGGGTTGTAGCGCCATCTGTTAGAATTATGGTGACAATTTTAAATTCAATCTTACAACTTATTATTATAATTTGCATGTTGAATAATATTTAATGAAATCAAAAAAAAATGTGGAACGCTTCACGATTTTGCGTGTCATCCTTGCGCAGGGGCCATGCTAATCTTCTCTGTATCGTTCCAATTTTAGTATATGTTCTGCCGAAGCAAGAACACTTCTTAACGTTCCCAAATTGTATTTATACCTAAAACATCCTAGCTATACGCCACAACGCGAGTTAATCGCGAGGGGTTGCAGCGCCTTTAAATTCAATCTTACAACTTATTATTATAATTTGCATATTGAATAATATTTAATAAAATCAAAAAAATGTGGAACGCTTCACGATTTTGCGTGTCATCCTTGCGCAGGGGCCATGCTAATCTTCTCTGTATCGTTCCAATTTTAGTATATGTTCTGCCGAAGCAAGAACACTTCACAACGTTCCCAAATTGTATTTATACCTAAACATCCTAGCTATACGCCACAACGCGAGTTAATCGCGAGGGGTTGAAGCGCCATCTGTTAGAATTATGGTGACAATTTTAAATTCAATCTTACAACTTATTATTATAATTTGCATGTTGAATAATATGCATTTTGCAATAAAAAAAAAAATGTGGAACGCTTCACGATTTTGCGTGTCATCCTTGCGCAGGGGTCATGCTAATCTTCTCTGTATCGTTCCAATTTTAGTATATGTTCTGCCGAAGCAAGAACACTTCTTAACGTTCCCAAATTGTATTTATACCTAAAACATCCTAGCTATACGCCACAACGCGAGTTAATCGCGAGGGGTTGAAGCGCCTTTAAATTCAATCTTACAACTTATTATTATAATTTGCATATTGAATAATATTTAATAAAATCAAAAAAAATGTGGAACGCTTCACGATTTTGCGTGTCATCCTTGCGCAGGGGCCATGCTAATCTTCTCTGTATCGTTCCAATTTTAGTATATGTTCTGCCGAAGCAAGAACTCTTCCCAAAGTTCCCAAATTGTATTTATACCTAAACATCCTCGCTATACGGCGCAACGCGAGCTACTCGCTTAGGGATGTATCGCCATCTCTTATCATCGGTTCATAATGATATTCAATTATTAAATATTCTTTAAAATGATACTTTTTTTTATTTACGTGTTGAATAATATTATTTTTTGTGACATCTTAGCGTAGATGAGTTTGAATTACAATTTGATTCATCATCGTCATCAAATCCATTCATATTTCTAAAAATTTGTTTATATATTTTCACTCACCTCAACGCCGTGTTCAATTTTAATAAACCCGTGTCTGCGTATAATTTTGCATAGTAGTTTCGAGTGCTTTCTTTAATAAGAACTGATTCAACTGCTTAGTTTTATAATTTAATATTTCAGATAGCCATTACGTACATTTTTTCTCTTTCTAGGTTTCGTTTCTTCGTAATTAATTGTTGATTTTTTTCGATGATTTTGATGGATTTCGAGGTGATATGTTGCAATCAGCTAGTTATTTTTATACTAAACATTCTATACTCGAAATATTGGTATGGCAAAACTACATTTGCCGGTTCAGCTCGTATAATATATGATATGCATTCCGTTAGTACAATTCGTTTTATTAACGGATTTAGTAAGCTACTAGCGGATTTTCTGTGAAAACTGTCACATTAGGGAAAAACCTTGTGAAGTTATGATGCAGTCCAATCCGTTCATTTGCTAATGATAGATATCTACGCACACGACCGCACGGTGATGCTTCGAGCAATTTGAAGATCCTTTTTTCCACTAAATTGTGTACAGAAAAATGTCTTCTATATTACGTAGTAACAAGTTTGTACGATACTTTTGCGGGATTACTCGCAATTTAACATTGAATGTAAAAGACACCGCCAGTAACACAATTCAACAAAATCTTTATGTTTGCAGCGGCTCAGCCCAGTGAGTGACTAACCTATAATGTTCTTGATAGCATTATGCAATATATTCAATATAATAACATTTAAGCTATTAAGATCAGAATAAGCATAGTTAAATACCTATGATCTATTGACCTGAACACTTGTCATAATTCACCAGCAAATGTTTTCTAACACTGTTATATTAATTGGTCAATTTAAATTTCAGTGGATTTTCTACCTCTATTGCTTCATTTAAACCAAATGAATTCAACTTAGATAAATCTTTACAAAGAATTGATCAAGATGTTCGACGATCAGGCAGGATTTCTAAAAGAGATATTGAAGAAGTTCTGGATGAAATACGTCATAGTCGATCTGCAAATAGTTCTCAGTCTTTACTAGTCATCCGATGTTGTGGTATGAATTATATTTTAACTGTGTATTAATTTGTTTTGTAGTTTGATTATGAACTTATACTGAAATGCAAGTGAAAATGGCATAATTTCTTTAAGAGTTGAGAAATTGACTGAATCTTTGAATTTTTTTTATTAAAAATGGCCAAAATAAATTGGTGTTAGTTATAACAGATTATATCTAAGTATGCACAAAATATATTCAATTAACCTTTCATAATTTGTGATCTCAAACATCTCATAAATTCATTGAATACAAAACTAAGCGAGGATATTTGATATAAAACCTTTGGATTAAATTTAATTAAATTCAGAAATGAAACATTCTAGAACAGATGTTAATATATTATATGTTATGCACTAATAATATATTTTATATATAATAATATTACACAAATAACGTAATTGCTAATATCTTCCTAAATATGGGAGTAGTTCTAGTTTTCATTTATAAAGGAAAGTTATAATGCCACATTTTAGATCATTTATTACTGAAACTATTTGATTTGTATATTTTATATGAATTTCATTCATTTATAACCTTCACACTTACCATACTGAGAGTAACAGTTAATGTATTTAATTTTGTATATATGTATATAATATATATGGTAGTCTGACCAAAGGCAGGTCTATGGTTTGAAAGCCCTTTTCCTTTCTTCTTTATTATTCCCATTACTATTTTATCATAAATCAACACTTTTTATACGCTTTTATGAAATTTCCTTTGCTAACTTCTGCTTCCATATTTCCTGTGCTTTTTGCATTAGGTTTCCTATATTTTCTCTTCTGCCAAGATAATTTTTTTTTTTTTATTATTTTAGTTTTTAACATTAACTTTAAGAATTTAACTTCAATATGAAGTAATTGTCAAATGTTTTATTTTATAATTAAATTAATAACAATAAATCTAGGAAATTTGGTACCTGAAGAATTGCCAGAAGTACGAACACGACTGGTAAAAGAAATATGGAGCACACTTGAGAGACTTAATGTTCCGATGGATGTATCTCACTATAATGCCCTGTTAAGAGTATATTTGGAGAATGAACATAAATTCTCACCAACTGAATTCTTAGCTCAAATGGAAGCTAAAGGAATTGAGCCCAATAGGTGCCTATATTTTTCTTTTTTTCTACCTATTATATCAATCTTGTGGCAACTTTCATATTATCTACAGGGTAACTTACCAGCGGTTAATATCACAATATTGCCAAGAAGGTGATATCGAAGGAGCTACAAAAATTTTAGAATTCATGAGAGAAAAACAGTTACCAGTAAATGAAAATGTATTCAATGCTCTTATAGTCGGCCATTCACAAGTAGGGTGAGTAACTGACACAATTTTTAACAAGAAATCAAATTTTTTACAAGAAATCAAATAGTACTGAAATGTATTCTTTTATCATATTATTGATATTATCAATACTATTTTTATATTTTTATCTTTTAGAGATATGGATTCAGCTAAAGACATTTTAACAGTGATGGGACAAGCTGGCCTTGAACCGAGCGCAGATACTTATACCGCTCTAATGTGTGGATATGCTAAAAAAGGAGATATAGAATCTATAAATAATATTCTACAAACCTGTGAAAGTAAAGAAATATATTTTTTGGATAAAGACTTTATGGATATTGTGTATACTCTTACAATAAATGGACACAAGGATAAAATAGATTCCATATTGAATTGTGTAAAAAAATCTTTTGGCTATAATCATGATGCAATTAATGTTATTTTAAGATTAATAAACAATGGTTATGAAGATGTCGGTTTAACAATAATGAAAACAATGGTAAGGCCAGACAAAATTGAAGAGTCTTCAAATAGCACTCTGGGTACATTCTTCATTCGACAGCTGATCAAAGCAAACAGACCTTTTGATTATGTTATGAAAATTGTTAGGCAATTAGAGGAGGAGGGGATAAATAATAAAGCATTTTCAATTGCAATGGAAAATGCTTTCCAACATGGAAATATGGAAACAGTTTTGGGTGCTCTTAATGAGCTAAAAAAGGCTGGAGAAACAATAAGACATCATTATTTGTGGCCCCTGATCTGTCGTGTGAGTAAAGAAAAGGATGATGAGAAAATCATTCAAGTTTTACGCATGTATATGCAATTTGATTTAATACCAAATGGAGAAACTTTGAGAGATTATGTTTATGAAAATCTGCAAGAGAAGAATCCGCATCGAGCCATCAGTTTGATTCGAACTGCAGGCCTTTCAGAAGCTTTATGTGCAAGCACTTCAGTTATGAATTTATTAGTAAATAACAAATTCAAGGAAGCCGCTGATGTAGCTGCTGCGTATCCAGCATATCATTCTCCTTATTTGATCCGGAGACCATTAAACTTATGTTTAGCGAAAACAGGTATGTAATCTGTATCTGTAAGAATAATTTATCATTTTAATTATTACTAAATTTCTTTTAACCCTCCGTCGGTCAGAGTGGTCTGGCCAGACTTTTTCCGACTTCAATTTAAAAAAAAAAATATTTCTAGTAATCCTATCGACTTGAAATTTCTTGACTTTTCCTAAAATTTCATTAGCTGTCGATCGATGAAAAAATCGGGACGAAAAAATGTACAGAAGGATGATTATAAGAATATTAACTTTTTTATACTTCGAACGATCGGAGTGGTCTGTCTAGACCACCCATACATTTTGTATGAAATATACGCTTTTTGATATATGTAAACTAGTATTTTGGCTTTTTTCTCATATTTTCTATTCAAACTGCGTTTTATATATTCTTTGCTATGTGTTGTAACATGAACGTTAGTATATTAATGATGAGAGTTCCTTGAAAACCTAACTTTTATTGGTCATCGCAAACATTAAAAATCGGATGAGTAATGCGCACATTATCAACAATTTTTCTACCCGTACTGCATTTGAAAATTTTTTTGGCAAACCTGTAGTGAGATTATATTCTCAACTTGAATTTTACAGCTCAGAGGCTTAAAAAGATGAAACACTAAAGTAGTAGTAGAACAGGAAACAGTATTTAGTACTGTGCCTCATAGAATAAGCTAGTTTAAGGAATTTAAATTACACATGGATCATGCACAACTTATGCAATGAATATAACTATTTACTTCATATTAACTTTATAACATGAACGTCTATTTTGTTTCCACTATCATTTTTCAATTTAAATCTCTTTTTTTTTTTAAGGTGACGTTGAAACGTATGTTAATATTCTTCATATTGTGAATGCCAATATGGAAAGACGTGAATCTGCAATGATGCAGCAAAAAAATGAAGAGGAAGATATGGCCACTAATGATCAGAATAATTTTGGCAAATTTAATAGTACTGGCTTAGCATTGACAGATCTGACATTTTTATCAGCTAAACAATGGAAACCCTTAATGGAATCAGTTTTGAAAGGTCTTATTGAAAAGGGCCTGGGAATAAATAATCACCAAGCTGAAATTATTCAAGAGAGATTAGGTGATAATATTACAGCAGAACTTTCAGAGAGTACGTTTCATCTGGAG